GCAAGACTCAAATGTGCACGTTCAGTATCTTGATAAGGAATACAACACCACTACCACAAAGACTGCTAGACAGGATCCAAACTTAATAGAACTGTCTACCTATTTATTGTCTCAATCTCATCTTTAAACGCACAAAATTACATCAATTAGGATGTGCGTATTCAAGAGATACAGGCTACAACATTAAAACAAAAAGGTCCCGAGAGAACAAAATTTCAATTTGTCAATTATATTAAACTACAAAGACTAACGACATTCAAGCTCCCTCTTTTGAAGTTTCAGGGACAGTTCACAGATGTCTACTGCGATCTCAACATCAGTGGGCTTCATGGCTAAAATTATTTAATGGATTTCACAATGGCGATCTTCAAGGACGGGCAGAACTTTTTTTCTTCCCACCCTAAACAGGGTTTAATTCTTCATGATTCCTACTGTCTCTGTGTCCACTTTACTGTTTCTTCTATCGTGGATTTCTAATATATGCATGATATATATAAATTGTCTGTGTTCAAGAAGCGTATGGACAACGCTCTAAGATATATGGTTTAATTTTTAGGCTGCCCTGTGTGGAGTCAGAAGTTGGAGTCGATGATTCTTGTGGGTCCCTTTCAACTCCATGATTTATGTGGAAAGAATATACACACAGTATTGTGTCGCATTAGTCTTGGAAGAGTTCAAATTTCAAACTATCTAATTATTATTGAATTGGTAAGTTCTTACAATTAAGTTTTTTCTCATTTGGAATTACATTCAGGATAACTATGAAATTAATAAATGAAATAACAGCCAGTGTTTCAAAATGCCAAGTACTTCATCTTGCATAGAACTCACAGGAAAGATGAGCTAACCATTTACAACTTCTTCCTCATACTTTTAACACCATTAATTTTTTCTTATACTTCTTCTATGTAATAAAATAAATGACTACCAACCATTTGGTAAGCTCAAATAAAACTATGTATTTCTACTTTCCCATTATTAATATGCATACATCTCATTTTATTAGCATCTGTCTCAAAACATATTGTTAATCTGAGACCTACTTTACTTTATGACCCAACACTACCTGTTATTTTAGAACACACCACTAGGCAGTAGGGTAGCAAAGATGATCGTGTACTAGCTATCAAACTTCCTTAGAAAGAGTTTCCTGTTATCCTCAAATAACAAAAATAAAAGGCAGGCACACAACCACCCATGCTGCTGTCAGAGGATCTTTCCTTTGGCAGTATCTGCAGGAAGAAGGATAGCTGCTATTCTAGGTTCTTAGGATAGCTTGCACAGAATCCAGGGTAAGATTGCTTTTAGCAACCATCATGCTGTCCATGAATACGAAGTCACTGAACTTCTCCTGAGGAAGAGCTACACAGTTACAGTTACACAGTAAATAATCTAATCCATTCCACACCAGAGAACAACAACAAGCCCAAGTTGTTCCTTACAATGAGAACATGTAGCATCTGTTACCATTTACAAAAATCATACAGAGGGGGGGAATAATGCTAGTGGAATCAGTCAATCAAAAAGTTCATTTAAATACGGGTTGGGGACAAATGTGTATCTGATGAACATGGCATTTCAAGTATATGCTTAATAAAATTAAGAAGTCAATAGTGTCATTTCACTGGAAACTGCAGAATGAGTTAAATAAATACTACTTCCTCTGAGAAATAGGCTACTGAATTGCATATAGAAGTTATTTTAAAGTGAGAGCTTAATAGAAAAAAAAACCACAAAACAAACAAAAAAACCAAACCAAAAAACCAACACCAACAAGCTGTAGGTAGCGCCTGTGTCCATCCATTTAAATCTGGTGCACATCACAAAACAGCCCCACCTGGAACTGTGGAGTTATAAATACAGCACAGCTCTGATTCTTGTCTAAACAAAAGGTAGCTTCAGAACGTTACATTTAAGATGTCATACATGCACATTTCAAATTCATGTGAATACTAATGCCAACCTAAAGCAGAAGCAGCAGTTTAAAAGCTATAATTTTCTTCATACAAGCTTCCAAACTACAAATACACTTAGTAAAATCAACTAAAATTGGATTTGAGAAAGCCTAGAAAATAGCATACTAACTTCATATGAAGTTATAGAAGTTTTTAGATCTGCTTGTTTCCACATAAAGTAGAAAAATTGAAAAGGGTTGATTAAATAGAGCAGGCAAACACACAGAATAAATGAAACTTGTGTGTTTGGTTGTTGTGAGTTTTGGTTTTTTTATTGTTGTTTCTTTGAGGTTTTTTTTATGATTAGTACAGTATTAGCTGCTTTAGGAATTTATAGTCCTGTAAAAAAATTGTGATCAAAGACCTTAGGAAACACACACCTTCAACAGCAGTTGGGGATCTCTGCTAGAAGACAGAATGTGAAGTCTCACCTGCACTAGGTTTCTTTTGCTGTTACACCTGAAACAGCTGAGTTGATGACATTTTCTAAAACATCCCTATGCAGACTAACAGAAGAGCTACCAAAAAGGAGCTTCAGGTATACTACAATTGATCTCTCCATGCAGCTAAACAGCTATTATGATATGCACCACTTTTCTAGCAGGTCAGCTAGAGCCTGTTATAAAGCACCGTAATAAAGTCCCATGAATACGATTTCTCTATACTTGTACACCATTTTCCTCCCCCAACCTCACCAGACAGCTGTATTGGTAAATCAAATGAGGAAGCTATGAAATCTATCTATATCTAGCTATATCTATCATCATATACCTGCTACTGACAGATTAAAAGCAAGAATAAAGAACAGGAATTACTCTTTCAAAAAGAACATAAAAGGAATTTGTTGAGAGACCCATATACTAGACACAGATTTTAAAAGACAGAATAATCAATACATTGGAAACTATTAAGTCAGCACTCAAAGAGGTATGACAGCATCTCCCGACTTGCAAATTATTTGTACTGCTCAAGCAGTTCACTAGAGACAACCCTAGACACCAAATACCATATGCATAATACAAATCCTTAAGTCAGCAAACTAAACCAAACCTGAATTGAGACTTCAGCTGATTTCTGACAATAGGAAAAGGAAAAAAAGTGTAACCTGTGTTGATGCAAATGATTCTTTTTTTTCAAGATGTATCAAAGCTGACACGTAGATCAGCTGAGAACTGTTTGCACTGCAGTAACTGCTGCTGTCCAATTGTCAGTCAGGGAACGAATCCCTTGCTATAGAAAACATGGTTAAGACCATCTCAAAGGAACTTTCCATAAAGACTACAGCAGATGTTTATTTACTGTTTTTAGCACTGTATCTGCCAAAAATATTTTGACATTGATTCTAGCAATTGGATACAAAAAAGAATATTACTTAAATTTCAACTCTGTTGCCTTAAAACATATGGGGGAAGTACATCAAGCTGTGCATCAACCAACACCACACAACTGGCTCTGCAGGAGTAACAAGGATCAATGAGGCCCCTACAAACACAAAGAGGTCCACCTTCAAACCACCAAAGGCAACTGAAGTAATGCAATGTAAACACCACTTTGGCAAACCTAGAATCTACCTGTACTACAAACAGATCTTTTTCAACACTAAAGAATTTTTCTGTCTACCTGCCCACCCACCTCCCCCCCCCCCCCCCCCCCCCGTCCAGAAGATAAGTCTTGCTACTGACCCTTTGAACTAAGTAATTTGTAGAACTGAGTGGTAAAGTCAAAACTTGATGTCTTGCTATGTTCCTGGAAATTCTGTGTAGCTTAAGGGAAAGTGAGCAACAATTTGCATTGCTATGGATGCTGCATTTTTTATTCCATGTCAAAAATAGTTTGGGGTTTTTTGGAGTTTGTTTGGTTTTTGTTTTTACACTTCAGTGTAACCAGTATTAGTCATTTCAGCCTAAAAACTTGCCACTGCCAGGATAGAGTTTTGAACTACTTGTATTTGTAATCTGGACAAAGTGTTTATACCATGAATCAACCTAAGGACCCTACAGCAGTACTGTAGCTTCAACAAGCCTTTAAACAGGACAAAGTACAGTGAAATAACACCCAAAATTAGCTCTTGCAGTAGAGCATCAAAACCAGTGATTTTTTTCTAGGTCACTTTCCTATAGCATAGCCAGTACTTCTCAGAATCCATGCGAAGAAAATAACACTGGTAACACTTCAAGAAACAGTTTTCACCATCTCAAGGCTACAGAGAGCTTACAGAGACTTTCTACCTGCAGTTCATTTTACACTTAACACAGTTTTTTTTTCCCTTATTAGGAAAAGAACCTGTTCGGGCCAAGTTAAATCGGAAGCACGGAAAGACTTTGAATTGCAGAACTGAATTTTTAATCAAGACAATTATTGTTACAATTAGCTCCTTAGTTGTAACATTTGCTGCAAGAGCCTATCAATCCATTCAGGGCAGTCTGAACTGGCCTGACTGCACATTTATTTTCCTCCAACATCACAACCCTCACAATCAGGATGAATCCTCTTACACACATTGCAAACATCCATTCAGTGAAAGATTAGCATAATATTAAGGCCATCTGAAGTACAGAAATGAACAGCACTGAATGTTTTATTGTGCAGCCATTTGGTTATGCGCAAGAGAGAACAACCCAGCCAAGACATCTGGCACAAATTACCATCATTACAGTTTTTTGCACAATTTTAAGAACTCTGGTCAGCACCTGCATGTTGACGTGCAAGTCGCAATGCGCTTCCAGGGCCTACTCTTAAGGAAAGCCAGTCTGGCAAGACTGAAAAACCAAAATACCAATCTGCTTTGGCACAAAATTAAGCGGGCACAGGATACTCCACCTTCCTTATAAAGCTCAATATTACAAGGCTAAACATCCAGATAATTTTTTTTAAATGCAAAGGGCCTATTTAAAACAATATTCCTCCCTCTATTCATAAACCTAGTATTATAGTCAAGAGATACCATTCTACCACTTGTAGCTGGCTACTCCCTTTTCCTGTCCTGGCTCAGAGAAGCTGAAAGCATGAATTAAGTCATATTCGTGGCTGTCCTGATTCACCTACCTGATATAGGGATCCCTCCCAGACCTGTGCTGTGTTGTGGTGGGAGATTCAAGTCCAAGAAATTACTATTTGAGGTGGGATTTGCTGTGTGGTTCAAGTGCATGATGCTATTGCGTGGAAAGGCCATCCAAGGATAGCGAGCTGCTTGGCCTGGAAAACTGAAGGAGTTGTAAACTGCTCGATGCTGTTGAAACTGTGGGAACCTCTGTGGCATGACTGGAAAGGTGCTACTGAGAGAGTTGGCATTTGTGGGTGCAGCATGATGCAGGAATCCAGAGCCTGGCCCTTTGGCAGTTGTAGTGTGTGGGGTAGGGTTCTGAAGAGATGTGGGCGAGAGGGAAGGTTGGTCTTGGACTGACAGTTCCTTCTCAATCAGGTCTGCTAAGGCTTTGCGGGTGATGTCAAAGGGGTCAAACCCTAAGTCGTCCTCTTGCTGTTTGGAGGAACCAAACCCAAAAGCCGCTTGCCAGTCTGTGGAGGAGGATACTGGTATAGTTTCTGTTGAAGAAGAGCGAGCAGGATTTAGAACAAGAATTAGTAAGTATTTATCCATACAAAAATTTCAGCCTCAGTGTATCTAAATCTATATTGCTAGTTATCTTTCATACAATGCTTTATATATTTCCCAAAGACACCTTATTAATCAGCTTAGAATGCCATTTCCAGATCAAACGGTCATAAATTTGTACTAGAAAACAGTATTTTTCCTGCAGAACTGCTCTGTTCCTGAACTACAGAAAAGCCTTGTCAAATCAGTATTTTCAGTAAGAGCATCAAGTAGAAAGAGACCAATAAAGACTTGCTTGGAATCTTCTTTACACCCATGTTACTTGATGGAAGTGTGACCAAGCAGAGTTCAAATGAGGGTACTATTCAGTTCAGTATTTTGCTTTCAGTATTAGTGCTGCGCTTCAGCTCTGCTGTGCAAGAAAGGTAGGGAAGAAGTGTTCTCTCTCAAAGGAGGAAACCTCTGAGCAGTGATAAAGGAAAAACAACCTACAGATCCAAAACCAACCGCACTGTCTATCATTATGGAGAAAAAACCAAATTCTTGAGGAGACATCTTGATAAAACAGAAGGAAATAAGGAACTGCATTACAAGATACTGTTAAATATTTTGAGGCAGTGTTGCAAAAAAAAAAAAAGGTTATCAGATTTTCCCTGCATTTTCAATTACTACTTCATTTCATTATACTGTT